TCTGAAGGGAAACTTGCTAAGTATTCCTATCTGTGCATGGAAGTGTAAATGCATACAGAGCCTCTGAAGGGAAACTTGTCAATATGCATCAGAGGCCTTGAAAATGGGCACAACTTACAACTTAGCAATTCCTCGCTTCACAACCTAACTAAGGCAATGACTGTGGCAGATTCTGAGAGATGACCCTAAAAATCTTCTCCTCTTTTTCCATGGAAATAGGAGTTTGAGCTGAGTGCAAGTCTCCTGAGAATAAAGACTGTATTTTCCAGGTTCCACGGCAGCTGAATGTGGCCTCGTGACTATATTCTAGCCAATTAGATGTAATCAACGTGGCACAGGGAAGTTCTGGGAACCTTCCTTATCAGACAGTCAGACCTGTGTCTCTTCTTCTTCATCCTGTACTCTATCCTGCTGCCAGGAGCATGGATGCTGACTTGGACCACGAAGAATTGGGCCACGCCCTACAGATGGCAGAGCCCTGAGGTGGAGGGAAACCGGGCCCCTAAAGACATTGGATTAGGGGCATTGGTGGTTTGGTGATAGAACTCTTGCCTTCCTCACAGGAGACCAGGGTTCTATTGCTGACCAATGCACCTCATGAGCAGCCACCACCCATCTGTCAGTGGAGACCTGTGTGTTGCTATGATGCGTAACAGTTTCAACAGAACTTCCTAAGACAGACTAGGAAGAAAGGCCTGGCAATCTGCGTCCAAAATTGAGCCAGTGAAAACCCTATGGATCATAACACTCCAGTTCACAAATGATTATGAGGATAGCGAAGGACTCAGCAGTGTATTGTTCAGTTGTGCTTGGGGTTGCCATGAGTCAGGGGCCAACTCAACAGCAGATAACAACAAAAGATGCTGGGGAGCAGAACCCCCACACCACCATCAGTCAGCAAACCTCCAAACTTTTGCTTGAAGGAAAATGCAGCATCTTGTTTAAGCCACTGGGACTAGTTTTCCAGATGCTCACTAATACATACTAACCTATCCTCACTAATACATAAACCTTGTAAAATATAGGTAGCTTTTTTTTTTCTTGTGCTTCTGTATATGCTAATTTTTCTGTAATGGATGTATGTTGCTTTTGTCACTTAAAAAAATTGTTTTGTGCTTTAGGTGGAAGTTTACAGCTCAAGTTAATTTCTCATTCAAAATTTTATACACATATTGTTTTGTTACATTGGTTGCAGTCCCCACAATGTGACAGCACACTCCCCCTTTCCACACTGGGTTCCCTGTGTCCATTTGACCAGTTCCTGTCCCTCCCAGCCTTCTCATCCTCACTCAGGACAGGGGCCGCCCATTTGGTCTTGTGTGTCTGATTGATCTAAGAAGCACACTCCTCACCTGTATTATTTTGTGTTTTATAGTCCTGTCTAATCGTTGTCTGAAGAGTGGGCTTCAGCAATGGTTTCAATTCTGAGTTAACAGTGCATCCAGGGGCCATAGTTTCGGGGATTCCTCCAGTCTCTGTCAGACCATTAAGTCTGGTCTTTTTACATGAATTTGAGTTCTGGTCTACGTTTTTCTCCTGCTCTGTCTGGGACTCTCTGTTGTGTTCCCTGTCAGGGTGGTCGTTGGTGGTAGCCAGGCCGCTTAAAGATTTGAACGTTAAAAGAATATCATTAAACAGATGAGTAAATAGAGCAGTATTAGGGTTTTTTAAAATAAAAATAGGGGTAGAATAAAAATGGCTACATCTGCTTTCACTGATCTATAATCTCTTTTACAGGTAAGATAAAAGCTTTATAACTCATTCATATGTTCAGAGTTTCGACTCAACTGTGTATTCATTCTGTATCTGTGTGCCTTTGTGTATTATAGCATTAGACTGTGTGCTCCTGGAGGGCAGGAGCCGGCTCTAGGTAAATTTCTTTGTTAAATATACATTTCTTGAGCCCTACCTGTCCCAAGAACAATGCTAAATACAGAGACATGGAGGTAAATGTCACAATCACTGGCTTTAGGGAACTCAATATAGAGGGAAAGAAATGATATTTCAATACAATGTGTCAATTGCTTTGATATCTAGAAGATTACAGTAGGAGTACAGAGAGGCACCTAATCCAGGTAGGCTTCCCAGACGAGGTGACAATCTTTGTCATAACTAGTACCATACTAGTGCAATTACCAGTCTATCCAGCGTTGTGCCACAGCTGGCTTGTACTGGCTCACAAGAACAGATGGTTAAGTCTTCAGGAATTTTGCAAGCTGAATGTTCAACACAGACGTTAATAAAAGTTTAGTTAAATTTACTTATGTTTAAATAACTTATTTTTTAAAGCTAATCAATATTCAAAACCCATCACTTCCTAATTATTTGCTACACTTACTGTTATCTATAC